CTGCTGAACATGCCATAGGTAACAAAGTCCATGTTGTGTTTGAAAGACAGGTGCTCCTGTTCACCAAACCCATACACTGAAGTGGATGGCACTGTAGTTGTGATCTGAAGATACTGGTTGGAGAAAAACAGATCAACTAGAGGACTGTCCCACCTGCAACAAACAGAAGGATACATTATTAGTTTTCTTCTCTTTGGTATGCATAGTTTTAAGTCCACATCAGGCTATTTATACTTGTTCTGTATTTTGGAGACTAAGAATATTTTAAAAACCATTACATTCTTTGCATGCCTCTAACATGCTTCACCAAAAACACATTAAATTAGTCTTCCAGTGGCTGAAGGTATCTCATCTACTTATAAAAAAATGCATCAGTATAATTTTAAAAAGAACAGCTAAAATAACAGAAGACACTATCTATAATCCTATTACCAAAATAAGTGGTTGCTTGTGCTATTTCTATGACAACCAACAGGGCAGGCTAAAAATTGTTATTACGCAGTGGGGTTCGGAATCTTTAATGAGAACACCAGACATTTAGTTGCTATCAGTTTTCACTTTTTAATGTTTTGCTGGGTCAAGACCTGAATCCTGTTGTTACCCACAACTTTATGCAGGTGCTTAAAGCAGAGGAATATCTTCCTCCAGACTCTGCTTGAATAACGTGTTTTTATTGTGGTGGCTCTCTCCTGCTTCTCTCACCAGCTTAATGCCTTTACTTCTATTGAATCATCTGTGGACACAGGCTCACATTTTAATTAGGTGTTACGTTCTCTTTCCTATCTCTAGTGCTATAATGAGCTGCAAGCTAGATGGGGGAGAACATAGTCAAGCTGTGGAAAAGTGTTTCGTTAATGGTACTGTGTATGCCACGAGTATCACATTTAGAGAGCACCCTCTCGAGTCTTGTTTAACCGTGAATTGGTTACAGTTAATTAAAATAAATGAGCCAAAGCCATAGAGCACAGAGTTGGCCTGTCTCTCCATTTTATTGGTCTTTTGTCAATGATTTTGTCAAAATTAAAGGGTTGATCAGGAAGTCAGAGAAATGGAAGATGGACTGTGCTGGCAGGAAGCAGATCTATCCCTGTGAGGGGAGTGGTCCCTGGTGAGCCTTGACTGCCACCCATGCCACTGGTATCCCTGCTTGGTCACAAGTCCCTGAAGCTGGGAGGACTCAGAGGGCACGGCTCAGCCCTCAGGCAACTCTGCTCTCTCCACAAGAAAGCAAGGACAGCCACTCACAGGGGTGCCCAGAGGCACATCCAAGGCACCCTCCTGCCTCTCCATGCAAAAAGCAGGCACAACCTGTCTCTAAAGTGTCCTATACAAGTCCTAAGTCAAGCATATGTACTGAAGGGTCTATGTATTTTTAAAAAGTCTATTTGGTCTTTCCCATAAGCAGAAAAAGTAAGAATTTGTATTTAAGTCTTGAATTGGTTGTTTGCCAAATGCAGTCCTCCTTTCCATCATCTCCTCCACCTACATGCAGTACTGAATAAGGTTATTTTCTTATAGGATGGTTAATGCATGCAAAATATCCCTGAGAATCAGATCCAGCCTTTGGCAAACAGGCCTTTCTGCAAGAGGCTGCTGTTTTGTAGGAATAGGGATGAGCTCTGGAGCTATAGCCCTGTCCAAAGGAGGGTCATCACGTAGCTCTGCTCTGTGCCGAGGCAGGCATGGTTACTGCTCAGAGCACTGCATGGGGTTATGCAAAAAACAAAGGATGCTGGAGGAGAAATGCTTTGGGAAGAGCTTAAATATCTGTCCTAACTCATTGAACACTCTCTGTGATATCTAATCAGAGGACACGAGGCTTTGTATACTCATGGTACCTACATCATGACACTGACATTTCCCATTGTGAGAGCAGTTAGAGTTCCCATGGCAGAAAAAAGTCCTCTCCCTACCCAGAAGGATCACTGTGGTGACTCCTTTGCCCCACCACATCTTTAAATGGTAAAGAGAAACATTTTTATACCTGACACATTTCCTCATGCCATTGTCATGCATTCAGCTCCTGCCTGGCATGCCACGACAGTGCCCGTGCCTCTGCACCCCTCCGATCCTCAGCTCCCGGGGCTGCCATTGCCAGCCCTTGCTCTCCATCAGCCTCCTTGGACCTCTGCTTTCCAGAACAGCCATGCACTATACACAGCATTAATTAGGACATTAAAAGGCTAGTAATGACTCTCTCGTTTTTTTCAGAGTACCATTCTGTCTTCTCCATGGGTAGGAAGGCTTGGACAGGTTTTCCCCTGGCACCTCTCTGCCTCCACTCCCAAGTGGCTGCCCTTCTGCTCTGCAGCGCACTGGGTAAGCTGCCTGTGTGCTTGCTTGTGTGGTGTTGGCAAAATCAATCATTTGAATTTAAAAAAATTATGTCTGTTATTCCTCAGACACTCAAGAGAGAATAGAAGAAATCGCTCTATTTCTCCCATCTCCCCTCCTGCTGGTCTAAAGCAGTAGAAGGAACAAAACAGGAGGGAGCATAAAATGATACTATGTGCACAGGAATTTGTGTGGTTCTCCTCTGACAGTCCTACCAACCATGGCAGTGCTGTGATGGACAACAGAAGGGACCTAAAAAAAAAGATATCTAAAAAATACAGCTGAGCAGTTGTTCACTGTCAAAAATTCAACCCCTACCAGCAGCTAGACATGGCAAAGCCAGTGAAGACAAGAACCCTTTTCTTTGCACACAAGCTGCACTCAGGCTCACTGCTGAAAGTCCCAACTCTTTAGTGCCTTTGTGGTGGGAATACTCCTGCCTGTGAAAATACAAACTGGCCTCCTCAGGCATCTGCCCAGCCCATTGCCTGCTGCCTGCCCAGGAATTCTGACTGATAAAAGAAGTGTTTTCTTCCAAACACTGTGCACTACATCCAAGAGTAAACCTCTCTCTATTTTTTAACCTCATATCCAGAAAAAAGAAAATAATAACATTATTCAGGATTTAAAAGGTCTGTGTGAAAATTAACATTTCTGGCCAGTAATGAACCAGTCTCACAATCAGCATTCAACCAGGATGAAATGTAACTGCAGTAGCCTAGGGAAACAGTATTAAAGGAAAGTGGGTAGGTAGGCAGGTAGAGAAAACATCCTGTTCACACTGAAGGTGTAATTTATGACTAACATTGTCACAATGTTTGAGGGAGATGACTAAAAAACAGTATTAAATGTTTTCAAATGTGAAATAATCAGTCCTTTGTAATAAGAACTGGACATGACAATCTACCTGGTTGAATGATTTTGCTCTGTTGAGGTTCATTGGAGACCAACAGCCATGGTGTGTGCAACGGCTCAGAGCACTGACTTGCCTTCTGTGAGCAAGCAGCTGGTGGCACTTATAAACCCTCCAGAATTTGGAGACTTGCAACACTTGTATTATACATCATTAGGACATGCACCCTGCACGGACATATGAAAACCATTTTAGGTGGGGAGAGGATTGCATTGTTTTTTTCCTTTCATTTTTGCAATCAATCCAGGAGAAATGAGCTCATTGCTTTAAGGTGTGAATACCCTTCCCACTCAGTCACTTGGAGAAAATGTCCTTTCCAACCTCTGCTTTTTTTGGCCTCCAGACCCTTTGGAAACCACATCCTTGTGAAAGGGAGCACACTACATGTATTATCTGTGCACAAATTCAGGTGGAAGCTCCACATGTCCACCAGAAAAGTGGGTCTAAGCCTCCTGGCAAAGCTTGGGAACAGCTTTTCAGAGAGCACAATCTATCACTGTATGTGCAGGCTGCCTAGAGAGCAGTAAAGCACCTCAGGGACTGAGGAGTATAAACCCTAATTTCAGGTGAGCCTCAAATATACTTAGCCCCTGACTCACCCTACCTGAGCTGCTGGGGAGCATCATCTTAGGAGTCCAGGTCTCTGTGATTTTCTGTTAGTCTCAGATTACTGAAAAATGTTTCCACTGTCTCACACGAGACATATTCCTTATTGATTTAAGTCTTGGGGCACCACTGGACTGCAGAAGGCACACCAAGAATGAATTTTTATATGTTTATCTTACTTTTAAGGTGGTTTATAAAAAATAGGTGGAGAAAGTCAGCACAAGTAACCACAGATGCTTCACAAATGTGCCATTTTAAAAGAAAGATCTGCAGTGTATGTTTACAGTTATTGACACAGTTCTGCTCTACTACTGTATTCACAGTCATGGTATCAGGGTATCTCCTGTAAGTGGCTGGATATATAATGCTTAGTTTTGTTTTAAAAGACTCTTGGATGAGTGATACACCTACAATATTTCTTACCTACATAACATAAATCTTAATGACTAGAAGACTAAAATAATACTTCTTACAAACTAGGAGCAAACCCAAGCTATCCATGATGCACACAAGTTGCTCCTGTTGCTTTCAGCAAAATTGCGGTTTAAGACAACAGCATTATAAATCATTCTAATAGCCTTGCCTATGTAAAACTATCTTCACGGTAAGTGGCTTCTGTGCTTACTACCACAATCAATAAAAAAGGCAGCTGAACTCTACAGAAGCCTTTTTGGAAATTAGGGAAAATCTTGATTAGATTTTGGTTATTTGTGCTGTATCTTGCCAAGTGTGATAGCAAATGAGATATTCCAAACTCTTAATAGAGAGAAAGGAGCACTTATCTGGCTTGGGAAAAATGTTCTGCCTTCCATTATTCATATGACATCATGAAGGAAAAGTCAGTTGGAGAACGGATATTAAAGTGAAGAATCAAATCAATAGTCCATCCCCCTGCAGCCTGTCTCCAGCAATGGCCCAGGCCAGGTATTGCAAAGGAAGGCAGAAGATGTCACTCAGAGCCAGTCTGGCAATAATCTGCTTATGTAAGAAGTTTCTGGCTGTTTTCACAGAATTAGCTTCTATTGTGACACATGGAGAAAAAAAATAGTTGGTGGGTTTTTTTCTAGGGATGATTGTGCACCCTGCTGAGCCTCCCGGGTCAGCACTATCCTGGGGCAATGAATCCCACAGAGTAATCACACACTGCAACATGAGGATGTCTTTGTTACTTATCATTGCCTTAAAGCAAACAGTTCCCGGCCTTTTAGTCTCTGTTCTTGAGGAAATCTGTGCTTTCCTGAAGCCTTCATACTCACACTTAATACTACCTCCTCCAGTGGTTGCTGCCACTAGTGGCAGG